ACCTTCTGGCATAGGGAGCTGAATAATAATTAGGGTAAATAAAGAAAGAGAGAGACCAGGAGAGGGACAGTAAGGAGAAAATAAAGTAAGGGAGATAGGGCGTGTGTGTGTGTGTGTGTGTGTGTGTGTGTGTGTGTGTACTGGGCCTTACTGAAGGCCTAAGTGAGAAGGTGTCTTTCTTTTTTTTTTTTTTTAATATTTTTATTTATTTCTAGGAGAGAGAGAGAGAACACGCATGAGCAGGGGAGGGTCAGAGAGAGAGAGAGATACAGACTCTGAAACAGGCTCCAGGCTCTGTGCTGGCAGTCAGCACAGAGCCCGATGCGGGGCTCGAGCCCACGAACCGCGAGATCATGACCTAAGCGAAAGTCAGATGCTTAACTGACTAAGCCACCCAGGCGCGCCCCCCCTTTTTTTTTTTTTAATATTTTTAAGAGAAGGTGTCTTTCAAATGACAGTCTAAAGGATATAAGTAAGTAATCCACAAAGATGGTTTTGATGAGATTTGGGAGCGAAAGTCTGATTAGACTGGACTCAAGAGAGAACAGAAGAAGAAAAACTAGATACAGCAAATATGGACAACTCCTTCAAGGAATCTGCTATAAACATACAGAGACAGAAAGAGTGGTAGCTGGAGAGGAAAGAGTGGTTTTTAAAAAGTCGTATTTTACTTTTTAAAAAGAGGAAGTCAATGCTACATTTCTTTGCTAAGAAGAATAATCTAGTTGAAGGACGCAGATTATACAGGAGAAAGAGGCAGTAAGTGCTGGAAGGGTGAAGTGATGAGATCTAGTGTAAAGGTGGACACTGGACTCACAGACAGGTAAGGAAGGACAGATGTGGTAGTGGGAGTCTATGGAAACTATCTTCTGTTGCTTTTATTTCCTTAGTTAAGAGAACATCTGCCAGGATTGAGAATTTGGGAGGAGGAAGTACAGGTTTGGGGAGAGAAAAGGTAAGAAAGGCTTTTCTAGTAGAGGAGAGTGAAAGAAGTATGGAGACATAGTATGAATGCTGACATCTAAAGCCTACTAGAAGTTAATATGAGGTACTGAAAGTAAGGTCAGCCAGTGGGCCTGTGTATTGTCCCTCAATCAAGTACAGCTGTGGTGCAGATGCAGCTTAGAGGACAGTTGGGTTTAACCAAAATGTGGTTTAGCCACACAAAGAAAAAGGAAACTAAGGATATGTGCCACAGAGTGGTTATAATCGCTGAGCAAGGAATTTAAGGTTAGTAAAAGAGGAAGTGAGGAACAGTAAAAATGAAGCAAGATCAAGTTGTCAGTGGTGAAGCAGGGCAGCAAAAGAGCCCAGGCAACAGTAGGCAGCAGGAGACTGGGATCACTGAGTATGAAGAGCTGCGATGCCTGTCAATCTAGAATATGATAGTGGGGGTGAGTGGTTGAAGTAGGGTGGAAGACAAGGGGTGAAGAAACGGAAGAGCAAGATTTTGAAAGAATAATCTATATGGAAACAAGAAGAGCGAGCTTGTGGATTATTAGATAACTAAAACGAGGAGAAGTGGCTGACAGAATATAATAACATGAGGTTTGAAGGTGAGGGTTTTAGGGAGGAGGGAGAGAGATTGGTTTGGAAGCAATAAGGAACAACAGAAACATTTACCCATCTCCTATCAGTGTCACAAGGAAAATGGAAGAGAAGAACCAAGGGCAAGCCAACCTTCAGCTAGACAGGAAAATGAAAGCTACACTCTGAGAACAGGCTGAGAATTTAGGGGATTTAGATGAAATTTAAGTACTCAGGACAGTGCTACCTTTGGGCGCATTATCACTTTGACTGTTCCAGGTGACTTGACCTCTGTTTTGTCCTCAGTTTCTGCATCTGTCCACTGGGGATAATCATGGCATGTACCTCATGGTGCTAATGTGAGGATGATGTTCAAGGACACAAGGAAGGCATTTAGAAAGACCTTAAAATGTGCACCTACCACAAAGTCTGCATTTTAAAAATGTCAGTTATTCCTACAGGCTATTTTCTCTCCTTCATAATCATTTTGGAATCTTTTAAGGATCTTTTATTTTCACTTAACATTTGAATAATATTAAAAAGTTTTATCTTCAATAAGACTGTAAACTCTTAAAGAGGAGGGATAATATCACATACTTGTCTGAGTTCTCCACAGAGTTCAGGGCCTGAACAACACTGACAGAAAGCTCAAGTAGCAATTCATGAACTAACACCACTCGTGACCTCTGAAGAAGACATCGCTGTACTCTCCCATCTCCCAGATCAGTCTTACATATATCAAGAGATATCACTAACCGTTCGAGGGGAAAAAGGGGTGTGTGGCAAGGATAAACAGAAATGGGAGATAATAGCTCATAGGTCTCACACCAACTTTAACTGTCACTCTATTTCTTCTCTGTAGCTGTCTCTCTACACATAAGTACACATTTTTTCTATCTCCTTTCAACAGGCTTTGGTGTACAACCTCACCAAAGGCTTTCTGAAACATAAATGAGCATATTTTCTCAAAGAAAAGGATTGAGGGATAGAAAAGGGATTCCAAGTCTTACTAGAAATTAGGTCATATGATCATTTAAAATCAAGAAACCTTCCCAAGAATGAAGGGATATGAAAGAATGATGTGAGGGGTGCCAGGAAAGCTCAGGTCACGATCTCACGGTTTGTGAGACTGAGCCTGAAGTCAAGCTCTGGGCGCTTTGGGATTCTCTCTCCCTCTCTCTCTGTCTCTGCCCTTTGCTCCACTCAGGCATGAGCACACACATACTCTCTCAAAATAAACTCTAGATGTATCCAAAAGTCAAACATTTTAATTATAAAGAAACTTTCAGAAAATATACTTATTAGCTATTTAAAAAAAAAGAGAGGACTCTTCTTAGCTTCAGAGAAATCATGAAAAAAAAAAAAGATTTATATATTCAATAAACATTTAGTGAGTGCTTTTTGTGTGCCAGACAGTGTTCATGGTAGTAATCACATATTAAAATTTGAGTCAATAAAAAATAGCAAAATTAAGGTAAGTAGCAAAACCAAGTTGGAAACTGTTGCATTAAAATTTCAAAAGGTTAAAAATGATGTTAGAAATTTGCTAAATTTACAAAAAAAAATCTCAATTATAAGAGATAAAAGAGAAAAATACTACCAAACTAGTCCCATAGGAGAAAATAAAAATACACTTCTCATATATGGAAAACATTCATTTTTGTTAATAGTCAAAAAAGTGCCAAATAAAACAATCTGAGGCACTACTTTACATCTAAATTAAAGTAGTGAGCACCACCTATATTGTGAGACAGTGGCACAAGAGAGGCCTTTGTAGGGTGTCTTTCTCCCTGCAGTTTATTCTGTAGAATGCCTCTGGAAAGCAATACACAGAAAAACTCAGGCAACGCTCAAGTCTCTGACCAGAGAATACTATGCAGCACTATAACTGAGGAAATAATTTTAGTGGTTCAACAATGTCTGCGAGAAGTTAATATAGCATAATCTAGAATACCAGAGAAAGAGCAATACAAAAAGTAGTTGTTATGAATAGACATTTTTCCAAAGATGACATCCAGATGCCCAACAGTCACATGAAAAGATGCTCAATAGTGCTTATCATCAGGGAAATACAAATCAAAATTACAATGAGATATAACCTAACATCTGTCAGAATGGCTAATATCAACAACACAAGAAGCAACAGGCATTGGTAAGGATGCAGAGAAAGGGGAGCCCTCTTGCACTGTTGATGGGAATGCAAATTGGTGCATTCACTCTGGAAAACAGTATGGAGGTTTTTCAAAAAGTTAAAAATAGGGGCCCTTGGGTGGCTCAGTCAGTTAAGTGCCCAACTTCAGCTCAGGTCATGATCTCAAGATCTGTGAGTCTGCTGACAGCTCAGAACCTGGAACCTGCTTCAGATTCTTTGTCTCCCTCTCGCTCTCTTGTTCCTCCCCATATCACACTCTGTCTCTCTCTCTCTCTTTCAAAAATAAACATTAAAAAAAATTAAAAATAGGACTACTCTAGAATGCAACAAACAATTGCAATACTAGGTATTTACCCAAAGAATACAAAAATACTAATTCATAGGGATACATGCACTCTGATGTTTACAGCAGTATTATTTACAATAGCCAAATTATGTAAACAGCCCACGTGTCCATCAATTGATGAATGGATAAGGCAGATGAGGTATTTATATACAATGGAATATTACTCAGCCATAAAAAAAGAATGGAATCTTGCCATTTGCAATGACATGGATGGAACTAGAGGGTATAATGCTAAGCGAAATAAGTCAGTCACAGAAAGACTAAGAAGTTTATGATTTCACTTATACGTGGAATTTAAGAAACAAAACAAATGAGCAAAGAGTTGTAAAAAAAAAAAACAGAGAGAGAGAGGGAGGCAAACCAAGAAACAGACTTTTTTTTTTTTTAATGTTTTATTTGTTTCTAGGAGAGAGACAGAGAGAGAGAGACAGCGTGAGCAGGGGAGGGTCAGAGAGAGAGGGAGTCACAGACTGAAACAGGCTCTAGGCTCTGAGCTGGCAGTCAGCACACAGCCCGACGCAGGACTCGAAATCACGAACCGTGAGATCATGACCTAAGCGAAAGTCGGACGCTTAACCAACTAAGCCACCCAGGCGCCCCAAGAAACAGACTCTTAACTACAGAGAACAAACTTATAAATACCAGAGGGCAAGTGAGTGGGGAGGATGGGTTACACAGGTGATACGGGTTAAGAAGTACACTTGTTGTGATGAGCTATATGCAAGTGTTGACAAAAAAGTTTTTAGAAGCCATAATTATGAACATGGAAAAATACTAACGACATAAATGAGATAAACTATTATGTACACATACACTCAGAACTCAAAATAGAACGGAGGAATTGCAAGTAACTTTTATAATGTTCTATAAGGCTGTTAACTTATCTTTTCATTTACAAGATCAGTTTATTTTTATTGAAAATAATCCCATCATAAAACAGCATTTTGGCAGTATGTTATGAAAGAGAATACATACCTGATACTCGCCGATCAAATCTGCCAGGAATTGGGACTGCAAAACAAAAAAAGAAGCAACATTCAGTCATCAATATATGTCACATGACCCCACCTTTAACAACATAACTAAAAGTACTTTAATACCAAATGTTGGGTCAATTTATACTCTTCTATAATCAACCAAAGACAGTAGTTCAACATGATCGTATAAAGGCAATATAAAGAAGAATTTATCTTTTTGAAAACAAGCTCTTTATAACTTCAATGTCCTCAAGATGGCAAATTTATTCTGTTTATATTCATGTTCCATTTAATCTGTATCATACTGGGGCACCTGGGTGGCTCAGTCGGTTAAGCATCTGACTCTGGATTTCAGCTCAGGTCATGACCTCATGATTCATGAGTTTGAGCCCCACATCTGGATCCACACTGGCAGTGTGGAGACCACATGGCTCCCTCTCTCGGCAAGTCCCCAGCTCATTCTTTCTCTCTTTCAAAGTAAGTAAAAAACTACTAAATTTATTGGTAATGTTATGATATTAAATAGTTAAATTTTCTTCTTTAATATTCTTCAAAGATAATCCCAAGACCTGCTGGATAATAGCATTTAAATCTCATTTTAATACAATTTAATAAGTTTTACACTAAAATGAAAAAGGAATTAGCTACTAAGTTATATTCTCACTCAATATAGGTATGTTTTCTCCTGCCTTTGGTCAGGGTATTAGTCAGAAAAATATATCATATATCCTTATACTGAAAAATAAACACAAATTTTCCTTTTGCCAATTTTTTCAACTTTTCACCTATCATCCTTTATGTCTGGTGGTTATCTAAATTTTCACCACTAAATTATATCACTTGAGTAAGGTGGGGGTTTTTGTTTTTTAAGATTTTTTTTCAAGTAAACTCCACCTAACGTGCGGCCAGAACTCACAGCCCCAAGATCAAGAGTCACATGCTCTACCGACTGAGCCAGCCAGGTGCTCCAAAGTGGCTTTTTTTTTAACTTTCAGACCTTAATCTGATTATTTTAATTTAAAAAATGATGTAAAATATGCCTTCTCAGCCTCCATAAAAGGAGAAATTTGAAGATTAGTGAAAAACAAATTGAAGTCAGTGACTCAGAGAGCCAAACTCAACTAATGTGAGGTCTCAGAAACAAAAATAGACTCAGGAAGGAAAGAAATGCTCATTCACCATAATAGAACAAGAATTATCTTTTCGCATAGCACTGGGTAAAAGTTATGTTATTGGTACAAACAGGCAAAATTTCAAAAGAAAACCCTAGCCATTACTGGTAGAAAGTACCTATGATAGTCCCTTTCTACTTCCTCAATGAAACTGTGGATTTGTTAAAATTAATGCATCTACCAGCAATGAAAGATGATAAAGTCTGTTCAACAGATATAGGTAGGGTACCTAGTAGATGACATGCACTGTTAACAGACAAAGACTCCTGGTTTCAGGAAACTTGCATTCTAGCTTGAAGTGTTCGAGAGAATTTCCTTCCATCACTTAAAACATGTTCCTGTCACTCAAATAGACAGATGAAATGGATACCAGCTTAAGCTCTCAATCCAGGCCTCATGGGACTTCCATAATTAAAATCCCACTAGATGTTAGTATATAACCTAAAAGTATAAAACATACAATGAAACAATTTAGCACGGGTGCTATCAGGTAATATCTCAAACAAAGGATTAGATATTAAGATTATGGAACTACTATAAAATGAGAACAGAATGTTTAAAACAAAGAAATAGAAATGGTAATCAAAAGCATAAATAAAGGAATAAGATATAACCAAAACAGGGAGAATTGAAAAAAATTTGGAATTTCTAGGAAAAAAAATAACACATTGAAATTTTTTTTTTTTTAATATTTTTTTTATTTATTTCTAGGAGAGAGAGAGAGAGACAGCGTGAGCAGAGGAGGGTCAGAGAGAGAGGGAGTCACAGACTGAAACAGGCTCCAGGCTCTGAGCTGGCAGTCAGCGCAGAGCCCGACGCGGGGCTCGAACCCACGAACTGCGAGATCATGACCTAAGCAAAAGTCGGACGCCCAACCGACTAAGCCACCCAGGCGCCCCATCACATTGAAATTTTTTAAAACAATGATGCAAGGCAACTTCTCTGGGTACATAACATCTAAAAGTGCTGGAAATTATAAAACATCACTACCAACAACTTACTACAATAATACTGATGTAAACATACAGATATAAATCACAAGGAAAATTAGAAAATACCTGGAGATAAATGAAAACAAAAACACAACATACCAAGTACTATGGATGTACTGAAAGTAGTGCTAAGAGGGAAATTTGTAGCTATAAATGCTTATGTTTAAAAAGAAGAGGGGTGCCTGGGTGGCTCAGTTGGTTAAGCATCCGACTTTGGCTCAGGTCATGATCTCATGTTTGTGAGTTTGAGCCCCACATCGGGCTCTGTGCTGACAGCTCAGAGCCTGGAGTCTGCTTTGGATCCTGTGTCTCCCTCTCTCTGCCCTCTCCCCTGTTCATACTGTCTCTCCTTGTCTGTGCAAAATAAATAAACATTTTTTTAAAAGTTAAAAAAATAAAATAAAAAGGAGAAAAGTCTCAACTTAATAAGCTAATTATACACCTTAAAGGAAGTAGGGGAAAAAAGGGCAAACTAAACCCTAAAGCAGTAGAAATAAGGAAATTCAGAGTAGAGAGAAACTATAAAATAAAGCATAGAAAAAAAAATCAGTGAAACTGAAAGCTGATTCTTTGAAAAGATCAACAAAATCAACAAACTGTTGATTGACTTGGACTGACAGAAAAAAGAAGAGTCAAATTACTAAAATTAAAGTAGGGATATTACAGTGGAATACACAGAAGTAAAAAGTTTTTATAATACTCTGAAAAATAGGATGCTAACAAATTGGATAACCTAGATGAAATAGACAAATTCCTAGAAATATACAAACTTCCAAAATTTACACGAAAGGAATAGAAAAATCTCAACAATCTATAACAAATAGGGTGATGGAACTGGTAATTAAAAATCTCCTAACAGGGGCACCTGGGTGGCACAGTCAGTCGGTTGAGCATCAGACTCTTGATTTTGACTCAGATCATGAGTTTATGAGTTCAAGCCCTGTAATGGGGCTCAGAGTATGGAGCCTACTTAAGATTTTCCTCCTCCTCTTCCCCCACCTCAGCTCCTTCCCCTGCTCACATGTTCTCTTTCTCTAAAAAAACAAAAAATCTCTTAACAGAGAAGAGCCCAATACCAGATGTCTTCATTGTAAAATCTACTAAACATCTGCAGAATTAACATCAACCCCTGTTATATTCATGCAAAAAAAAAAAAACATCAAAGATAAGGGAATACTTCCTAACCCATTTTTTTCATTTTTAAGAAATTTTTTTATTTTAGATAGAGAGCACACAAGTGGGGGAGAGGGGTAGAGGCTGAGAAAGAATCCTAAGCAGGCTCCAAGCTCAGCACAGAGCCTGACAAAGAGCTGAATCTCACAACCCTGAGATCATGACCTGAGTAGAAATCAAGAGTTTGACACTCAACCAACCGAGCCACCCAGGCAACACCTTAACTCATTTTATAAGGCCAGCATTACCCTGATACTAAAGCCAAAGACATTACAAGTAAAGAAAATATTCATTATGAATACAGACACAAAAATCCTCAAAAAAATAGTAGCACACAAGACCTGGCAACATTTGTACACCATGACCAAGTAAGATTTATCCCAGGAATGCAACGGTGGCTCAAAATAAGAGTATCAAGCAAAATACATCACATTAATAGAATTAAGAGGTGGGGAGGGGCAACACATTAACATCTCAATGATGCAGAACAAGCATGTGACAAAATGACACTCTTTCATGATAAAAAATAAAGTAAGAATATAAGGGAATTTCTTCAACATGAAAAAGGCTCATATGAAAAACCCACAGCTAACACCGACTCAATGGTAAAAGACTGAAAGCTTTCTCCCTAAGATCTGGAACAAGACAAGATGCCTGCTTTTGCCATTTCTACTCAAATTATTAGTGAAAGTTCTGGCCATAGCAATTAGGAAGTAAAAAGAAATAAAAGCATCTGAATTAGAAAGGAAAAAGTAAAATATCTGCTTTGGAATGACATGATCTTTTATGTAAAATACCTTAAAGAATCCACACACAAAAAAGTTAGACTTTTGATGAATGAATACAGCAAAGCTGCAGGATGTAAAATCAACACGCAAGGGGTGCTTGGGGGGCTCAGTTGGTTAAGCCTCCCAGCAGCTCAGGTCATGATCTCACAGTTTGTGAGTTCAAGGCCCACATCAGGTTCTCTGCTGTACACACGGAGCCTGCCTCTGATCCTTCTCCCTCTCTATACCTCCACTGGTCATGCACAAGCGTGCTCTGTCTGCCCCGCCCCCCGTAAAAAATACATAAACATTTAAAAACAAAAACAACAGATAATAAGGGTTGGCAAGGATGTGAAGAAATTGGAATCCTTTTTTTTTTCCCTAGGAGAGAGAGAGACAGCGTGAGCAGGGGAGGGTCAGAGAGAGAGGGAGTCACAGACTCTGAAACAGGCTCCAGGCTCTGAGCTGGCAGTCAGCACAGAGCCCGACGTGGGGCTCGAACCCACGAACTGCGAGATCATGACCTAAGTGAAAGTCGGACGCTTAACCGGCTAAGCCACCCAGGCGCCCAGAAATTGGAATCCTTTTGCATTCTTGGTCACAATGTAAAATGGTGCAGCTGCTGGGTAAAACAGTATGGCAGCTCCTCAAAGATTAAAAACGAATTACTATATAATTCAGCAATTCTACTTCTGGGTGTATATCCAAAAGAACTAAAAGCAGGGTCTCACACATACATAGCCAAAAGGTGGAAGCAATCCAAGCATCCATCAATGGATGAGAAGATAAAACAAAATGTGGTATACATACAATGGGATATTATTCAGTCTTTAAAAGGAAGGAAATTCTGAAACTTGGCTGTAAGATTCTATGAATGAATCTTGAAGACACTATGCTAAATAAAGTCAGTTACAAAAAAGACAAATCTTT